GGTGGGGCCGTAATCGCTGATCAGCAGCTAAAAGTGAGGAGAGGAGACCGCCTGGGGAGGTTTTAATAAGTTGTAATGTAGCAAAAAACACATGGACGTTGAGAAGTCGGTCCCTGGGTACTGTTTCTTGTATTAAACTTATTGTTTGGAAAGGGAAAGTTAATATTTTTTGAGACATACAGAAAGACTTCAGAAAGCACGGAAAGGTGGAGCCGACCTCCTGCTTTGGCTGCTGTGTCCCAGGGAGCCAAAAAACGTGGCAGCAAGAGGGGCTCCAGGAACCTTCCATGAGCAGTAGGTGAAGAGGGAGGAAGCAGCCCTGACTGCTCCTGGCTGGGGAGCTCCAGCTGTGGGTGTGAACGCAGAGGTGCTGTACAAAGGCTGTGCAGCTCCAGCTGTGCGTGTGAACACAGAGGTGCTGTACAAAAGCTGTGCAGGTCCAGCTGTGCGTGTGAACACAGAGGTGCTGTACAAAAGCTGTGCAGGTCCAGCTGTGCGTGTGAACACAGAGGTGCTGTACAAAAGCTGTGCAGGTCCAGCTGTGCGTGTGAACACAGAGGTGCTGTACAAAGGCTGTGCAGCTCCAGCTGTGCGTGTGAACGCAGAGGTGCTGTATGAAAGCTGTGCAGGTCCAGCTGTGCGTGTGAACACAGAGGTGCTGTACAAAAGCTGTGCAGGTCCAGCTGTGCGTGTGAACACAGAGGTGCTGTACAAAGGCTGTGCAGCTCCAGCTGTGCGTGTGAACACAGAGGTGCTGTACAAAAGCTGTGCAGGTCCAGCTGTGCGTGTGAACACAGAGGTGCTGTACAAACACTGGTGCTCTGGAAAAGGAGATACAGCGGGAATGGAGAAGCCTTTTGCTACACTTGGAGTTTCCAGGGGGATCACAGTTCAGGGTCTGTACAATGGTTCCTGACAGCTGAAGTTGGACAGCTAGTCTCATTTCATAGGTCTGGGGGGGAGGGGACTGTGGGACAGGTCTTTTAGTGTCCTTCCAGTAACCTGAAGGGGCTTACAGGGAAGCTGGGGAGGGACTTTTTACAATGTCATGCAATGATGGGACAAGGGGGAGTGGCTTTAACCTGGAAGAGGGGAGATTTAGGTTGGACATAAGGAATAAATTCTTCAGTGTGAGGGTGGTGAGACACTGGCCCCACCCCTGCAAGTGTTCAAGGCCAGGTTGGAAGGGGCTTGGAGCAACCTGGTCTAGTGGGAGGTGTCCCTGCCCAGAGCAGGGGTTTGGGACTGGTTGATCTCTCAGGTCCCTTCCCATCCAAACCAGTCTGTGGGACTGTGAGAAGGTGTTCATGCTTCCACAAGTAGAGAGTTCTCAACAAGCATAACTAGAGCAGTAGTTCAGGACAGGCTTTGCCTCAGCAGAGTCCCATCGAGTCCGCATCTGCCTGCCACGTTGCTCTAACCTGTGCGTGGCGTCCCCTCCACTTGGCACTGCTGCGTCGTGCTCTGCATTGCAGACACAGCTCAGGCACCACAGGCACTGCTGTGCTGGCCTGTGACCCTGAAGCCTGTTTCCTGTGAGACAGTTCATATGTCAGAATCTAGGTCTGCCATGTTCTTAGTTCAGTGGTAGGAACCCACATGGAATGTTTTAATGACCGTCCTAAGGAGTGCTGTAAGAGAGTCAGTAATTAGATTGCTATAACCTTCTCCTCATCTACTTGGCTTCCTGTGTGCCATGTTATCATTTAATAAGATGATGTAAATAACCAGGAAGCTGACCAGCAATTCCAGTGAAACAGAGCGTGACCGTGTCTCCTCCTCACCCTCGCACAAGGCCAGTTAATGAGGAAGAATTACCCAAATTCAGGATATATGGGTCAAAGAAACTGGTGCAGCTCAAACCTTTTTTAATTCCTGCAGGTGTGGCAGGTTGTCATTTTACAGCGATGGATGTTAATCCAATGGAATTTATCTAGGAATGAAGGGAGGACGAGGACTTTAATGTTTCACGTTGGCTGGACTTCAGGAATTACTGAATCTGGGTGTTAGTTGGTTGTCCTGTGATGTCACCCTAATTTTCTTGATTAAAAATGCTCAGTCCCCTCCAGAGTGAAATGCACAGGATATCAGTATCAGTACCACCCTTAGGTGTAAGACATTGAATATAGACTGCATCGAGTGTTTGACTGACTTACAGGAGGGGAGTTACAGCTTTTTTGACTTCTTTCTTAGTGCGTAAACAATGTTTAGATCAATTTGTGGTCCTTTTAACATTTCTTCACCACAAGACCTCCCATCTGCTCAAGGGTACCATACAGCTGGTCATTACAGCAGGGCACGTTATTTTTCCTGCCCTTGTCCAGGGATAGACATGGACCATGTACCTCAGGAGAGCTGGAGGGCATGCTTTCTTTTCAGGTGGGAAGTAATAATGGTTCCTCAGGCCTTCTACTGCAGCCTGATGAATAGGTGTATAGTTTTGTCCTACGGGACCCAGCAGCCACCGTTGTCTTTACTGGCTTCAGGCATAGGGGCTTTGATGAATAGCCCCCCATGGCAGCCCAGTCCTGCTGCAGGACCTGTCAGGTATAGACCAGCAGCCAGACCGCACAAAAGTTCAAGTCTCTGCCTCTTCCCCAGATTCTCTCATAAACCAGTGTGCTCTACACTGCTGTTCCCAGGCTTTTCCATTGTATTACCATACACCAGCATCAAAGAGGAACAGGGATATTTCCTGAATTTAGGGCTGAGCATCTGGCAACATTATACACTTTAAGATGAATAGGAAAGTGACTGATAAAGGTACCAAATGAAGCCGTAAAAGGTTTGTTACAGAAGAACATTTTGTTCCTGCTTATGCTTTTGAGGAGGATACTCTGTCTTCAAATCAGGGAGGACTCTGGGGCTTTTGTTGGTTTGGGGGATTTTTTAATTATTTTTTTTAGGCTTCCAGGCATTGTTTGTGACTCATCCAATTCTTTCTTGGTTCAGCTTCCGGGCTGCACATGTGGGGGTCCTGTCTCCAAATCTGTTTACTTGCTGTAAATGTTCTGTGTTCTGAGAGAGGTAGCTCAGACTCTCTGAGGATACAGCTTCATACCACCCCAGAACAGGGTGACAAGACAGGGGAAGGCTAAACAGAAAGTTGCTGCTTGTCACCTGCTCAGAGGTGAAATGTTTTGCACTGAGTGCTGCTGAGCTCTCTGATGTCAGCCGAGCACTGTAGGAAGAATAGGACTTTGCTTGGGAGATTCACTGTTACTCAGCTGAGTAAAGTCACTGCTTTTACCTTTGAATTTCTGCTCTAGCTTGCAAGTGCCAAGAGCTCAGCCATGGAGCTCATCACTTTGTGCCTTTCCACTTGGAAAAGATGAAACCCTGTCTAATAAACCACTAATGCAGAAACATTACAGAGCACATTGCCTCCTTTTAACACCTAACTTGTTCCCTTTCTGTGCAGTCATCAGGCGTCACTGCTTTTCATAAAGGCTTGTGGGACTCTGGCAAACATGACTCCATCTGTCTGTTCCACTTCAAGGCTGTCAGTGTTCATTTTAGGCTGTGTTCCTTGCAGGCAAAGCCTCTCTCTGTTAGCTGTCCTTACAAGGTTTCTTCAAATTAGATCCAGTCAGCAATGCCAAAGTGCACAGAAGCATTCGCTGTCCAGTTACCTACATAAACAAGTTTGCTCCTTGTAATGAAAAGCAATACAAATGAAAAGTGTTACTGTTCACACAGCTCTACACCAAATTCACTGTTACATCCTGATTCAGGAAAGCAGCTTTATCAAGGAAAGGACTTAAACATGTGTTTGCAGCTAATTAAAAGGCTTTCTTTGAACAGAGGTGAGTTAAGCATGTGCTTACGTGCTTTTGCTTGTGACTTGTGAAGAAAGACTATAGCTGTAGTTGGCAGTCAGAGAGGAAATGAAGAGCCTTGCTCTGTGAAGAGATTTCTTCTTCTACCTGGTTACTCTGCCTGTGAAATCTGGGCTCTTTGGAAGTCAGTGGCAGTACTCCAGACAAACTGACCCGTAGTTCTAAACCTTGCAAAGCAGATTAAAACCCCCATTTTGCCCACTTCTTTCCCTTCCAAAATCTTTTCTCCCTAACAAGGAAACAATGGTTTTATAAGTTTGCCTGCCTTGTGTCCAGATTTGATCTTTCCTTTCCAGGTTAGTTGTTTTGCTCTCTTACTATTACTCAGTCCATCTGTTAGATCCAATGGCATTTGGCAGCCTGCAGCTTCTTTTTCACTTCTGGCACAACTAACTGCACAGTCAATCTATAACTCTTTAAAATGAATCTGCATTTTTTCAGTGGATTTCAGAGCATTTTCTGGCTGCTTTGGGTACCACTTTGTCTGCTTCTGTACAACCAGTATTTTCTTAAAATTCACAAGTAGGCAGGCAAAATTATTGCTCTAATCATCTGTGAGCCTAATATTCATAAGGTATTTGTTAAAGCTAATACCTTATTCATCCAATGCTCAAGTGGATCCTACTAGAAAAATCACAACCCTATTAATCATTAAAGAAAAAAAAAGTCAGAAAAAATGTGGTATTATTCACTTTTGCACACAGTGTGGCTCTGCTGGAAAGATAGTATCAATGATTCAACAGGGATGGGAAAATTCTGTAAATATGGAATTCATTGAATGAAAATAATGTCTTTGCAGCTGATTGCTTAGTAGCATTTTTAATGATTACTTAAATTATCCTTCATATGACATTTTTAATGTCATATTACTAAGCTCTGCCTTTTATTATCTTTAGAAAGAACACGAGATTGCTGACTCTAATCCAAGCCAATCATCTTGGACCTGTGGCAATGAGTATCAATGAATCAATGGGTACTTGCTGAGGATGGACACTGAAAGAGGTGTGTGCTCATCACTGTGGTGCCTGCTCCACCTGTGTATGATGCCAGGCCCTGTCAGGGAATATGTGATATGTTCTGGCATCAAAACTGGTTATTTGGGGACAGGAGTTTCCACTGTTGCTATAGGATACTGGATTTCATTGGTGTAGGGTTTTTTAAGGTCTCTTGCTGGAAGAAAGTCACTCAGGTCCTTCAGGGTAAGTCCCTGGAAGTCCCTACAAGAACAGCTAATACTGTAGGGAAATAAATGGTGCATGTTCTGGTGTTTGAAAAGTCAGTTCAAAACTAGCTCAACAAGTGCAGCTTTGAATCATGTGAGGCTGCAGAACACCTCTGTGCAATGCTGCCAAGGAAGAAATGCCCTGTGGTGGCATATTTTGCCCTGAGAACTGGGGCCATGCTGGTACACCTCCATGTCTCCTAGGACCTCAGTGGCATCAAGGGCACACTGTGTAAAGATCTGATTTCAGTCCCAGGGATTGAACTAGGCAATGTAAGAACTTGGTACAAGAACAGTATCAGCCAGAAGAGGAAGGTCCCTGGGCAAATTGGAACGAAGTCCATCATGCTGGCTGTGTGTATACAGAGCTTACAGGGTGGTTCCTGGAACAGCCACGAGCACAAGATATGGCACATCCCATCATTTCTGCACCCCACGACAGGCCCGCCCATAGCGTGGCAAAGAGCCTGGTGGCACAGGATTCAGAGAGCGTGCTCAGGCACGGGGACCTCCGAGCAGCACACGTTCACAGGCTCCCACTCTGACCCAGCACCAACAGGTCTGATCTGGAGGCAGCCTCGGGCTCATCCCCAGGTAGACCCGGTGCTTCCAGCCAGCTCATCTGCCCACATATCTCTGCCTCTCTTGTTGCCACAACACGCAGCAGGCAAGAACTGCATCTGCCTGTCTTGGTAACACAAAGTCTTCCACATGTAAAGTTCTTCCAGTGGCTGAGCTCTAGCATGCTTGTTGTTTTACCATTTAGATATTAGACATTAATTGTATAATTTTGAGATGGGTGAATTTCCCTTCATTACACAAGTGGATGTATCTGTGGAAGAAAAGAACACATTTATTTTGCAGCTTGAAGAGTTTTTGCTAAATCCCTTTAGGTTTGTAGGTGCTGTTGATAGCTGTTCATCAGCTTCATCAGTTCATTTGGAACAGGCTGCTCAGGGAGGTTGGTGAAGTCACCATCCCTGGAAGTATTTAAAAGAAATATGGATATAGTGCTTAGCAACACAATTTAAACACCCAATGGGTAAATTAGGTTATGGTAGAGGGATTTAGATTATGGTTGGACTTGATGATCTTCAAGGTTCCTTACAACCAGAATGATTCTATGATTCTATGATCAGCTGTTAGCCAAACTTAGGACACAGGCTGCCCTTCTGAAGCTGCAGATATGTAGAAAGGTGCCATTTCTAGCAAATGGTGTCATTTGGTCAATGCTGTGTCCTAAAAACACGTTTGTAACCACCATAAACATTTTGTGGAGATAACCATTTTGGGACCTGTTTAAAAAGCCTCTTTTCCCAGAGCAGAGGTAACATTTTTTCAGTCCTGATCATTTAACATTGCTTCTCCCCAGAGCTGATGCTGTGATTTGGAATATTCTGCAATCCCAACTCTGACACCTGATGGATACTGCTCCTTTCCCCAAGAACCAAACATGGCCTTCCCATAAGGATGGAAACATGAAGGTCTGTGCTATGTCTCATCACCTCTTTTCAAGGATCAAATATATTTGTTGTTTGTCAAATCATATCCCAAGACTGCAAGCATAATCATGTTGACTTTATGTTCTGTAACTAAATCTATTAATTTTCTTAACTGCCTTCCACAGAGGCCATTTTGTGGTCAATTTAAGATGGTCCGACTAAAAGCTGGTGCCAAAAAGCACAGTCACATTTCCCATTCAGAAATTACATTCCTGCTCTCAACCTGGCCTGAGATCTAGCAATGAGGTCAATACCAGATGGGCATGAGCTCTGCCTGCCAGTGCAACCACAACCAAGTAATTTTTCTTCAGCATTAGTTTTCAGCCAATTCAGCAAGTTAATCCTATTTGCCTAGGACTGCAGGATTGCTAGAGCTGACACATATGACCATGTGATGAGGGCAGGGAAAAGTGTGTGACCATATACTGGCAACAGCCCATAGTTGCTGATGCTGATCATGAAACCACAGTCTCAACTGGACAATAAGGGAGGAATACATGTCTGGGAATTGGTAGCTGACACACAAACATCTTCAGATCACGAGTCTCCCTTTAGAGTCAGCGGAGATCTAATCAGCTTTGTCACTGGAGCCTGCAATATTATTGCTCTCCTCCTACAGTAGTATGTGCTTGATTAGATGGATCCCATCCTTAGAGTGCCCATTTCTGCCCCTGACTGTAAAGAAAGACTGGTGTGAATAGCTCAGAGATTAGGTCAATGGCTAATGAGACTGACTCCTGCTCGCATGTGTTGGTTCTGCCCATATAAGACAAGGGGTTTTTCTTTGTACATTAAAGCAGGAGTTAAGTGAGTTCTTTAATGCCAACAACTGAATAATATCAGAAGGAAGAGCAGAATCTAGCAGCCTGTCCTGCTAATACTAATGCTTATATCATTATGATAGAACATGATGTTCAAAACTGCGTC